ATCGAGTCCGACCTCCCCACCAAAGCAGGTTCCCTACACCAGGTCACACAGGTAGGTGTCCAGGCAGGTCTTGAATATCTTCAGAGAAGGAGACTCCACAACCTCCCTGGGCAGCCTGTTCCAGTGCTCCGTCACCCTCACCGTAAAGAAGTTCTTGTGCAGAACTTCCTATGCTCCAGTTTCTGGACGTTTCCCAGAAATGTAAAGCCAGTTATTCACACTGTTCTGTTTTAACTGAAGGATAAGACATATAAGCCTTGTGTTGTTTTGTGTCTTTTTTTTTTTTTTTTTTTTTTTTTTTTTTTTTTAATAATTTTTTATTTCTGGATAAATTATGATTTTTCCAGAAATTACCAACCCTAAGAGTAAGGTACATAAATCAAGTAATAACAAACATCACAATAAATGGATTAAAACAGTGTAAATGGAAATCTGCTGTTACAATTTTCTCAAATGAGCTTTTCAAGCAGAAGTCTATAAATAATAGTGCAAAAAGATCAAAAGTATTACATTAATATTGTTAGGTTAGTGAAATAAATGATGTAGCCCTACCAGACGATAGTGACAAAGTAATTTCCATTTCAACTAAAAAAACCAAGCATTCTTTATAACTTAGATGTGAGAGTTTTCAGAGAGCTGGCTGCATGTTTTCTGAGCTGTTAATATTGATTTTTTTATAAGCTTTGAAGTATCAGTACCAAAAAGAGTGGAAGAGTGCTTGCAGTGAGCCAGTATTTGAACTGAACATGAAAGGTGAGCCGGCCAATTGTGCTCCAGTCAGTCCTAAACAAAACAAAGCTAAAATGATAATAAAGGAGATTAATTAAAAAACAGCATGGACACCAGTAAGCACTGAGAAATCAAAACAGATATTTTTAGGTTGATTAATAAAAGTGATAGTTCTTGTATACACTTCCATGAACTCTGAGCGTTGATTTTGATTAACAATCTAAAATGTTAGAAATCAAGATGGTTCCAATGAAAGTAGTTGAAAAACGGGTTGCTGATAGACTTCAGAAAGGAATATCTCCTTCAGTTGGTTAATGATTAGGGAAGCAAGACACGTTCTTGAAACATCTCATTTCCTAAGTGGGGCTCTAGTTATGTGTCTTGTCTTTCTTGTCTCTGAATGCACTCCTTTTCTAAGCTTGGAACCTGAATTTATTATGATTACTCTGTCATGTGTTTTACTTCGCAGGATTAGGATCCTATTCCCTTGTACACTGCATCCCCATACCACAGATTTCTATTATCCTAAGTGGACCTCCTCTCCCATGTCTCAAGCTCTGCAGTACATGAAACCTTTCTTAGGGGGCTTCAAGTCTGGAGCTCGGACTAGTTGTTGTATACAATGTCTTTAATTTTAAACTATGGTCTTCAAGTAGCATAAATTGAAGTTTTAACTATGTATAAAGGATGTAGTTTTGAAAACATTGAAGTAGATATGTGAGATAATGAAGGTTTCAATTATTCTTTCAATAATACAAACTGGAAACTGAAAGATTGGTAAGACAACATGAGTAGTATTGATGAGAAATATAAAGCAAACTGGGAATTTCTAGAACCACTGCAGTTAATAATCAAATTAATTAACTAAATTTCCCTATATCACAAACTGTGAAAAAGGTATATCCAATTTTGCTTTATCTATAATTGTTTTTTATTTATTCATAAGACAATAAGAAATAAGAAATCTGCTCTTTGCTCCTCCTGGTGCCTCTGGCATGTGCAAAAGAATTTCACCTGCATGTACCCTAAGATCAATATTAAAAAGCCAGTCTAAAACATAGGTGAATTGTGTAACACTTATCTCCCATCAGATTAGTCACTTGTTGGTGAGATCAACAACTTAAATTTTGGTTGCTTTGTATCCCTAACGTGATAACACCACCCAAGTATGAATTCATTGTTTTGGCTCTGTTATATTAATATTTATTAATTTACTATGTTATTAATTTTTTTAAATTAAGATATAATTTCTTGTTGTAAATAAAAATGTTGTGTTCCCTGAAGTGTCTTGATTTGCAATTCATGCATGGGGAATTGGTGATGTCAGTGCTGCTTCTTCCCTCGTAAACTTATCTACTTAATATATATCTCACTTTATGTTCATTATCCTTCCCTGCCATAGCAAAGTTCCACCATCCTGAGCAGGAAATGATTATTCATACTATACAGGAACTACCAGGAGCAAAGGGGGAAATGATTACAAATTATAGCAACAGTAACAGCTAACATAGTCTGGCTTGTCACTCCTGCTCAGGAAATGCAAGAATAGCTATGACAATATTCTCCAGGCTCTTCTAAGATCACTGATGATTTCACTGCAGGATTCCTGTAATAGATTCCAAATAAAGACCTCCAGGAGCGGTTGACACTTCTCCTGGGCTAGTGATGTCTCATCTCTCCTAGCTCTTCTCCAGCCCAAGATGATAACACTAGTCATATAGTGATGTATTTTATCCGTTGGTCAGGGAAAGTCTCAACATCTCTCTGTAATTCCCCACAAGCACTTTTCAACAGTTGGATTGGAAGACCTGCTGGAAAATATCATGTTATATTTACTTGAATTTCCTTCGTATGGAAATCAGAGTACAGAGGAATGGTGTCAGCACGGTTCTTGTCTCAGTTCTTGGCACACTGTCAGCAGGTATTAAGTGCCCGAGATCAAGAGTGGTAATCATCCTCCCCAACAATGCAGCCTCAGTAATTCCTTTTGGAGTAAGAACTGTGAGATTAGAAATTGAAGTGATCATAAAAAGGCATTAAGGAATTTTGTTAACGAGATGTGTATAGTTACACTCTTTCAAGTCGTCCTTGTGTTTGTGTGTGTATGTGTAAGCATGCTTTGTAGAGCTTATATGTAATGTGATCAGATATAGCAGACGTTTAAGCTGATGAGGTCTGGTCATCTTTATAAGTTTTGGAAACAGAAAATGAAGAGAAACTTCAAAAAGAAATAGCATGTAATTAAATTTGTTGATTTTCATTTGTTTTGTGTGTGGTTTTTTTATTAAATTATTTCTTTGTTGTTGAAAGCAGAGACTTCTTTTCTATTGCCTTTTGAGATTGCTAGATTTGAAACTGATAATTCTGTGAGGTTGCTCAGCCCCTCATAATTAAGGAAACACATTCAGTGGTAATATGTTCATTTTTAGTCTGTAATTTATATGATAAATTAGTTTTTGAGAAATTAGTTCCTGTAATTTATATGATAAATTATTTCTGAAGAGTAAAGGTGAAATGTTATACTGCGGAATAAGTTTATATAAATCCTGCATATGCTTAAACTACAGTGAAATGCAAGGGACTGTATTACTCATTTTTTTCTTTTATAATTTTTTACCACTTACTACAGTGTATTTGCAGAAGTATTTGCAGCGTTCAAGACTCTATGACTTAGCACTTATTACAGAAGATAATTTCTTTCTGTCTTTCACCAGCCCTCCACCTTTCAACATACATCTTCATCTGTCTGATGTGTGAGGGGAATTACATTTGGCTTGGAAACAAAAAGAGGTGTATCTCCTTCAAACATATTCTGTCCTGGCCATCCCACTTAGAGGATGAGGAAGCTCTTGGGAACATGTGTGGGTTATTGACTGCTGTGTGCCTGCAGCAGCTCTGTAAGCCCTGCCCTTCACTTCTTCTCTGGCAGTTTTAACCAGGCAGGAACAATTAAGGGAGGGATCCTGAGCTGTGCCTGTCAATTAATGTTGAAAGCTAGTTTGCAAATGAAGTAATTTAATAGAGTTGCAATCTCATTGAGCCATGTCTTACGTCTTTTATACCCTGTCATGTCTAAGCAGTGTTTTTCAAGTAATTGTGCAAATTTCAGTATGTGCAAGGAAATGTTTTTCTGTTTGCTTGGTTTCTGTAACGTCACACAATTTACTAATTACTTGCCAGTCATTAGATAGGATGCCTTGTAAAATGTCAATTGAGTAATTTGTGGTAAGTTACAAAGTTATATGCTTTCCTCTCATAGTCAGTTATTGTCAGTGCAAGAAATAAGGAAGTCTTGTTTTGTTTTCTTTTTTTAACTGTCTCATGAGGAGAAATAACCTTGGTTTTAATTTTGTGTTCACTGAGTCAATGGAAGCTTGGCTGTAGACATCAGCAGAGCAGATTTCAAGCCAAAATCTGCAGAGACCATTTTCCCATTGTAAAAGAAAATGCTAAGCCTTAGAAATCAGTGGCTGAATTCACATATAGGACATGCTGGTTGTCTGCCTAAAATATAATTTTCCTGGACTTTATTTTTAACTTTTCCACTTGGTGCTATCACTGCTGAACATAAAAGGTATGTCTGGATTTGCACATAGATGATTAATGTAGGCAGTCCCTGCAGAATCAAAATCTCATAATGTATTGATTTTCTCTGTATACCCACTGTAGGAAAAATGTTCCTGTAGGAAACAGCAGACAGTACGTAGCTCTCAATGTGAAACATAATTCACTAATAAATACAGGGAAAAGTCTCAGAATAAGCACTTTTCAGTATGGAGACAGATGGCCACATCACTTCACAAACATTCAGCTTTTTTTTCCCTGACATGCTTAAATAATCTTTATCAAGCAGTAGACATAGATAAAAATTGAGGTAGCCTTAAATTTATCTAAAATAGAATGACAAGCTATTGTAGAAGTGTCCTATAAATAACTACAGCTAGCTATTGAATGAAAGTCAATAAGCTGTGGAGTAGATTTCTACTGGATTGTAGAAATACGTATACATATATATTTCTTGTAATGAAATGCTCTGTCCTCTTTCCCAACCCAGGACTCAACATAGCGTTTATATACTTGGCACAACATACAAGGATTAGAGGCAGAACCAGATGGCCATACTTTATCTTGTCTTGTTTATTTAGGTGATGGATAGCAGTCCTGACTTTACCTATTTGTCTGACCATGATCATTTATGTTCTACTGTGGATTTCTGCACACACATGGACACAAATGGAAGTAAACAGACTCTTTTTCTCTTTATTCCTTAGGCTTAGAAAGAATTGCAAGAGATTCAGCCTATGAGCAAGAAGGAAAAGTTCAGTTTGTAATTGATGCAGTATATTCCATGGCCTATGCACTACATAACATGCACAAAGATCTCTGTCCTGGATATATTGGTCTGTGTCCAAGGATGAGCACAATTGATGGTAAAGAACTACTTACCTATATCCGAGCAGTAAACTTTAATGGTAAGTTATATGTACTCTTTTTTTTTTTTTTTTTTTTCCTACCTTCTTGTTCTTTAAATGTTTCAGAAGTGACAAGATGTGTTTTCTTCTATATATAGGATACTTTAAGGCACAGTGGAAAACACAAGATTAGAAGCAGTTCTCATTCAGTCAGAACTGTGAGTTTTTCCACCTGCTTTGAAACCCCAAGTGTATTTTTCATCTTAACATTAAGCTGCTCCCACAGGATGCAGATGTTAAAAATAAGAATCTGTCAATCAAAATATTTCAGTGAAAAGCTGCTATTATAGAAACAAGTTGAGGACTCATGCAGTCCTATTGACAGATTAAAATCCTTAGATGGAGGTTACTCATGTGTTTACAAGAAAATGAATTGAAAATATACCCTTTTAAAAATTGCTTTCTTTTGAAATTACTGTTAACAATTTCTTTACATAATTGAATAGTGGAATTTTCTTTCAGCTTGTGTGTTTAATTCTCAATTAAAGGACTTACTAGAATTTACAGCTTCTTTTCCTTATCATTGTTTTCCACTCAGTGATGTAATCAGTTTTAACACAACTGCAATATGCATTTTTAAACAACAGTACATAATATTCTGTGCAGCTGGGATTTGCTGCTGGAGAAATGCAGTTACTGTTTCCCGTGCTGTCAACAGTAGCGACCAATAAAGAACAGGCTTAATTTATGAATGTAGAATTGAAAAGGGTAGAACATACTTGATGGTGAAATGAAGTTGTTGAAAACTTAGATTGTTTCGTGAATTTCATAGCTGTTGTAGGCTATATTTCCCATTATTTTACAAGGAAATTGAACAATGTTCTTTGCTGTGTTTTCTTTTTCTTTCTATTCTTTTTCCCCTATGTGGCAGGTAATTCACATACTAGCAATGCCTTCTAACTATAGAGAGAAGCACTGTCTATCACAATTCACTCCTGTGACCTCAGCTGCCAGCCTTTTGAAAAAAGCACAAGGTCATTTTGAATTTAGCTTCCAAGTGGAAGCAATTTTTTGCTCTAGGTAATGTACCAGACCATTTGGTTGATATGAATATTGGCTGTAGTTCACAGTTTGTTTCCTCTTTCAAATCTTTCTTCTTCTGCAACATTCATAAAAAGGGAATCCCTGTCTCCTGGAATACAGAAGAAAGATAGGAGTTAAAATGATTCTTTAGTGATTTTAAAGAAAACCTGGAACAAAATATGTAGCTAACAAATGGGAATGTTGCTGTGATGACAGAGGTAGGCAACATATTGTAAGGTCTGCAGTGATAATTATCTACATTTCCAACACATATGCTTTTGAGTCTGTGTTGTTAAAGTGTAAAGAAAGCGATCAATTTTCATTTGGTTAGCATGAAAGATTAGCATAAAAAGATAAGGTGTACACACTATATAAAACCTTTTCCTCCCTAAAGATTGTTGTGCTTCATCAATAACTGTCTTCATTTCACTGGCTGACTGCTGAAACAACAAGGGGAGATGAAAGGGTGGGATTGAGCATTCTGGACACTAATGAAAAAGGATGCTTTTGAAGTAGCAGTCTTTCAGTATCTAAAGGGGGGGCTATAAGAAAGAAGGGGATGGACTCTTTAGCAGGATCTGTTGCAATAGGACAACAGGATATAGTTTCAGACTAAAAAGAGTGGAGATTTATAATATAAGGAAGTGTTTTTCTTTTATGATAAGGGTTGTGAAGCACTGGAACAGGTGGTGCAGGGGGGTGGTGGATGCTCCTTCGCTAGAGAGATTCAAAGTTTGGGCTGAACAAGGCTCTGAGCAACCTAATCTGGCTATGGGTTTATGGCAGGGAAATTGTACGAGTTGACCTTTAAGAGTCCCTTCCAATTCAAATGATTCTATGATTTACTGAAATAGGGAAGAAGAAATAAAATAAATATTTCTGTGATTTTAAATTTCTGTCTTGTGGGATGCATAAAATCTTCTCTGTGTTAGGCTGGTCCATGTTATGTACTAGTGTACCAATTTTTTTGTGTATATCACATGATCCAGTATTTCCCTTTTTGAAGTCATGAATTGGGAGGCATTATCAAAAGACAGTCTTTGATCCTGTGCCTTTTCCTACAAAGCTTAAGTTCCTGCTCCTCAGAAGAGCACTGTAGCTGTGTCTGACTTGGTTTACAGAGATGAATAGGTATGCAGGTTACTAGACCTCATGTAGTGGGAGATGATTGTGGTGCTGCATGTTAATTTTGACATGAGTTCCTGGTTCAAATCACCAATAATGTAGTAGTCTAAAAGTGAGCTGATACATGAAAGGGAAGCCCTGGCTTTGAAAGCCATTCAAGGTAACATTTTTCTGTCCTAGTAATAAAAGGATCACAGCATTGCTGAAAGTTGACAGGAACCCCTGGTGATCCCCTGCTTAGATCTGGTTCAGCTAGATCAGGTTGCTCAGGACCACAACCTGTCAGGTTTTAAATATATCCAAGTACGGAAAATCCTGCAAAATTTTCTCTGAGCAATCATTTTCAATGTTTGATCATCCTCACAGTAAAAAGTTCTTTTTTTATGCTAAAACAATATTAGCTCTGTTTTTGAATTAAACTACTGTGCTTTAGGGTTATAATAATCCTTCTTAACCAATATAGTAATGAGTGGGTGCAACTGCAATTGATATGTTCCTGCATTTAAGTCAGTGGGTTTCATCTCACAGATTGTGACCCGTGTTATGAAGGACACCTGTCTGTCTTATGGAGAGCCTTTGCAAGGGGAGGAAAACATGCATATCTCTGGTTATTGGAGTTATTGCTCTGATTTTGATTGCAAGCAATTGCTTTGAAATGTGTTGTTTTTTATTTACTCTGTTTATTCTTATTTACAAATGATAGAGAAGATTTAGTCTCCTGAAGGATTCGTCTGTATAATATTCCATGATACCTTCATGACTAAAGAGTGGTAATAACCACCAGCATACTGATATAACTGATACGACATTTGCTTCTGCTTGGATATTCTTCTGCCAGTTCTATGTTAAATGCAGAAAACATCACTGTTCAGCAGTTGAAAGGAACAGAACTTTATTTTCACTTGAAATTACTGCTGAGTGCAGTCTCCTATCTTACTATTGCCTTTGTTTCTCTTAAAACAAATATCAAAGCATAGTGTTTGTAAACAATTGCTTTTCATTTACAGTGGGCATTTTAATTATTAATTTCAATTCATAGAGGAAGAAATGACTAGTGTGTAATTCTGCAGCCTATTGCAATGTGTGTAGAAATTATAAGTTTTTAAGAAAGATGTACATTTTAAGACTCATGTTTACAAGCCAGTGCAATGAGGCATGGTCCACTTAGATCACTGTGTTCTCAGTGGTCATTTCCAGCTATTTGTTCAAAGAATACTTAGAAATATCAGAATTTTCATGTTCCTTCTTATCTTGGTTTCTCTCTGGCAACAAGTGAATATGCCGTCACTCGATGGCATTCTTTTAAATGGAGGCACTGCATTTGAAAGATCTTCCCTGCCAGTTTTTGTATCTAAACAGCATGAGATATTTATGTGAAATTGGTGTTTAATGTTTAAAATTATCTAAAGCAAATATGTTTTTCTGTAAATTAGGTTTATAAATAGCAAACTGTCATGGTTTAATTGTGTCATGACTCAGTAGATCTCCTTTCATATTTCTACTGTGTTCTTACTGTGACTTCATTTTTCTGCCTACAAACAAGCAGAGTTTTTCTAAGAGTTTTTACCCTAGCATGTGCTAAGTTTTTTTTGTTTTTTTTTAAATGAGAAATGCTCATCTTTTATCAGTAATGAGACCTGCATTCGTAGTGGCTGGAGGTGTTTCAAAGTGTGGTATTCTTTTGTTGCTGTTCTATTCATTTGTTATTGTTGGTGGTGATTGGTTTTATTTTTAATTAAAAGATTGATTGTGATTTTTCTTGGATAGGAATAAACCACAGAGTGACAAGATTGATCAGTGTCCGCCTTCCTTGTTGTTCAACTTCAGAATTCATGGTTGAATTCCAAAACAAAAGTCATTACTCATATTGTAAATTAAGCATTTCTTACAGAAGAAAACTCATTCTTTCTATATAGAATGATTTGTAGTGAATATATGGTGCTATGTAGCTCTTTTATGCTTATCTTTTGGCATATATTTTTATTTACATTAATACACTGTAACAGGTCAAAGGATAAATACTTAGCAAAAGTCACACACTAAACCACAGTATATTTACATACATTATGAGTCTTTCACTAAACTTGAAAGTAAGGACAAAACTTGACCTGTACTCTCATACAGGCAAGCAGGCATCTGTCTGCCTATCTGTCTGCTTATCTATCTATCTATGTATCTATCTATTTGAATTGATGGTCTACTTATCTTGCTCTGGCATCTTTCCTGGTGAGGAGCTAGAAGGGAGCAGAGAACAGGTGAAAGCAGGTGAAAGCCTGTGCTGGCAGTGCCTAGTTCAATGTCCATTTCTGCCAAAGTTCACTGCAACATCACTTCCCCCTTCTGGTGAAAAGGAGACAGTAAGTAAATTCCAATTCTGATTGTAGCCTCTCCTTTAGTCTTCTCTGGGACTATGTAGAACAACTGTGTTTCTTGCTGGGATTTTGTGACAAATTTACAGTGGCACTGGGCCAGACTGACCAGAGATGTTACAGTCTCCATCCTCAGAGGTATTCAAAAGCTGTCAGTTTTCTCTAGCTGTCCCTCCTTGTAAGCAGAGGGATTGGACTAGGTGATCTCCAGAGCTTCCTTCCTGCCTCAGCCACTCTCAGATTCTGTAGCTCAAACTGGACTCAAAATAAAAGTAAACACTCACCCTTGCTTTAAGCGTTTTAAATGAATATACGTTATATTTACTCTATTTTTCTGGCACTAATTTCATAGCCTCTATGGATTTGCTGCTCCTTGCTGCTATTTGTGTTATAAATCTGGTAATCAAATGCCTTTGAGAAAAGAGTGATTTTGTCTGTATGCACATGAAGCCTCATCCCCACTTAAAAAGCAAACATACAAAA